ATATTTCCTTATACTATAGTTAAGATACGATCTGTCGATTATCCGGGAGTCGAGAACGGGTGAGCATGGAAAAAAGACTCAGGGCAGAGTTAGCTATTACAACCGTAATTCGCGCAATCGACAGAAATTTCAACGCGCGATGTAATCGTATCTGCCAATTCGGCGAAACTCGGGACGGAGTGAAAGTGCACCGCCGCGCGAGTGAAACATTTTCGCCTAACCTCTTAAACCATTAAAATCGTGTCGGCGGGCCTCGTCGTGGGACAACCGGACAATTTTTCTATTGCTACAACAACCGCGTCTGTCCTCTCATCGGTGTTACGCAATTCTTTCATCTACAATCTTTTCAAGTTAGTACATCTTATCTTTTATAAATAATCCACTATATTTATAATCCACTGGAAACGTGGCAATGTTTTTGTTTTGAATGTATTTGACAATTTATTTCTGCTGAAATTTTTCACTGTGAGTGATGAAAGCAAATCGTCCATAATAATTTAATCATTTACTGTGAAATATTTGATGTCCTCAAGAGATGCACATATTACTTTTGTATCCGCTTAGTAAAACTAGTCGGCTAGTGTATCAGGTATCTTCCCCAGGAATATCTTACAAGTCTAACAGCCGTACGTTCGAAAGAATTAAATTTGGATTAAAAGCTGCCAGTCAGGCGAGTTTCAGAGACACGCAGCGAGAGACAATTCGTCGCGGGTAACATGCATGACCAATGGTGCGCCAAGGGTCGATTATATCAAGATGCAAAAGCAGAAAACGAGAAAAACGATGGCAATGGAAGAACGAGACTAAGAACTTCCTCTCCTTCTCGCGGCGCGAATCGCACGCGCGAATTCCCACGGTGTGAGATAAGACCGGTGTAGAGATAAAGAAGATCGCAGAAGAACGACAGAGAGAGAGAGAGAGAGAGAGAGAGAGAGGGGACGAGGGAGAGCGAGGAGAGAGCAGAGCCGGCGAAAAAAAGATGCGGGGAAAAGGAAAGAGGAAGGCGAGGGAGGGAGCGAGAAAACGGCGAGGACGATGTGGGAAAAGAGGAAGCTAATCAGAAGCGGAAGTACGCTCCGGCGAGGCTCGAGGCCTTGAGAAGCATAGTCAGCCGCGCAGCTTTTAGCTCTCTTAATTGCAACTTCATTTAACGTGCCCTCTACACATCGAAACCCCGGTTCCGACCAATCCGAGGCCTCCGCGCCGCGAGGCCGCGTCTTAATAACCCGTCTTATCGTCGACGAAGAAACGTTTCAGAAGGAAGCAACCGCAGGCGGACCGTGGAAGGTGAAAATGTTTTAAACACGCAGCGTCAATGTGCATTCCCATTAACCAACGTGCGCCTCAACATTTAATGAATCCAACATCTTTTAGAAATTATTGCATAATAAATATACAATGTTTGGCAAGGAAATTTACTCTAATATGCACGATAATATCGAATCGTGCTTTCCTACATTCATAAGACGAATAATGCGGACTATTATTTAAAAAGTAACGCGGCCGACAATGAATTTCGCTTATGCAATAGATCCACCTGGAATTTATATACGATATACACGACACATGCACGGTTCTGTGAAAGGTTTGCATGCTCGCGAATGCTTTTCAGACTCGATAATAATATCATACTTAGATCGCGAGACCGTTTGAAGGTAATACGCTTATGCATCCACGTTTTACCGGATGTTATTATTGCCACGCCATATCTCCGCAGCGTTTAACACGTAAAAAAATGCAGTTAAGTTTAAATATACACTGGGTATGTAACCAAGGTACTATATACCTACGACGCATGTACTACATACTGTGATTATAGTTATCTCGCGGCACCTATATTAGTTACAATCGGACTGCGATAATCGAGTTTTCGCTATCAACTGAGAACACATTTCTATGGAGCGATAATTCCGGCAATTGCAGTCGCGCTCGGTTTTAAACTCGTACGCGGGACCGTGAAACGAACGATCTTAAATTAATCGACGATTCCACAGTAGCTGGAAAAATGAAATCGGAGCAGAACCGTGATCCGAACGAGAACGGATCGGATCGATCGCAGGGATTCGTGAAAGGTTCGATGAATAGCGAAATAGGAAGTGCACGATCTATCTGTCGATCGCGATTACGAGAAGAAACGTAAACTCATCTTACGTAAGATCAATCGGACGTGATTCACGATCGTTTTAACCGATGCGTGCGTCGATCATTCGGAATCGATCGATACCGAGCAGACGTAAGAGGCATGCGACATTGTTTTCGACTAGCTATCGTAATGGTAACCTACGTCGATACTCATTACGGGCCTCTCGTTAATTAATCGTTTTACGAGCCGCGATTGCCTTCTGTAATGAATCAACGCAGCTCCGCTAATCAATGACCACGTAACATAGATAAAAGTGACTGGGATTCGTGCTAGAACCGTACTAGTATTTACCTATTCGTCCGTCTTGTAACAGGTGCTCGAAAACTATCGAGACAAATAAATTGGTGTTAGCACGGAGCTATAAATGTTAACCGCGTATTATTATAGACGTTTGTTTAACCTCGGTTCAGTTTATTAATTAAGTATTCGCAAACACGCGCTTGTTGCGGTACTGGTTATCTCGATTACAATGAAAATATTTCCTTTCTACTCTCCGCTGTTATCTCTCTGCACTCGTTTTTTGCTATTTTGTTTTGAAATATTTTCTATCTATCGTATACAGGAAATGCGTGTTTTGAATATTGAAAGCCACGCTTATCATTTAATTAACCGGATGAAGTTTTCTTAATTTAATTTTTCATCTGTCTAGCAAAAAAGATGATGGGATATTAATCAGTCTGTCAATGTCTGCAAAAGAACTCTCTAAGATAATTTCGTCTGTAAAAACGTCTGTATTGAAACATTAAGGAAACGATCCACCAGGAAAAACGTCTGTTCACCTTTGGAACTTGATTGTAATTCTAGTTTGCAGAATATTCGCGCAGATGCGCGGTGTGCACCGAAACTATGCGAGAGCGTAACATAAATATATCCGGCAGATAATGGGCACATGAATACGAAATGGCGAGCGTAAAGATGCCTTTCGACGAGCCCGACCTTGACTCGAGATCGCTTTTTCTTTACGATCCGTCACCGTGAGCCATTGATGACCACATAGAACTCGTGAGCCCCTCCGCCTTCTCCCCAACCGCCTTGTTTTTTCTCTTAAAAACCGAGTTGCGCAACCAACCGCGTACATACGCGGCCATGGAACACCTGAACTTGAATTATAAATTAGAAAGAAGAGCTTCTCACATTGTTGTGAGAGCACATTTTGATGAGCAGACAGACTCGTTCGGGAACGATGACAAAAATGTCGAAAGATCAACAATAATCAAGAAGTATCAATGAAGTTATTCCCTGTCGAAATAAGTATAAGTCGAAAACGATAATACTGTCGCTGCCAGAAATGCGCGGAGACATTGCGGTAGGTTAAAATCATAACAACTATTCGTTAGCATGAATTTTGTGAATTCTCGATCGTCCATGCTAATCAATTCTCAAGATTATTCATTCAGTTTCATTTGAATTCTGTCCGAACAGACGCATATGTTCAAGCGTTTATTAAAAATTTAAATACAAACGAGTTAAGGAGTGCGCATGATGTGTGAAAATACGTACAAAGTGAAGGACTCACTTATCATGCACTATTTAACAGCTAGAATAGAATTCTAAGCAACTCCTATTATTGGTTTCGTGCCGTTTTTTAAAGTACTTATTTGATCTTGACACAAAATTTAGAAAGCTCATTGCTGCATTTTATGGAAACCTCTAACGATTTTATTCATTTTTTTATTCTGTCCTCATATATATTAATTAATCCTTCATGAAGCGTTTGCTTCTATAAGAAACTGAGATACTTAAATATTAAGACAATTAATGAAGAGCACGAAATGATATAAATATCATTAGGAAATATAGTGATGAGCCGATTTAACCGATTGTGACAGGCTGGCTCCGATTTCAAAGGATGCGTCCATTTAAATTTTCATTGACACGAGCGCGCATCGATCAGTACAGTCCAATACTGCAGGCTTTCGAATGGAAGCAGGAATTGCTTTCGCGGAGTCAATAGTCGCGCAATTTGTTCTACAACCCGGTCGATCATATTTTCTCATTGTCAGTGCGGTTCGTTCCAATCTATCTACCTGTCCCTAGTCTGCGTTACAGGCCGCGATCGTTTTTGCCCCCAATTACGGCACGCTACCTTAATTTACACAGTCTCTTTTATCCGATAGCACGGAATGCTGGTTCATTGCTCGAATAATTTCCTTGTTTTCCACTGCGGTTCCGCAGATACGACAACGCGTGTTTATTACGTCGACGGACTAAAAAAGAGGAACATATGTATTTGAGAAAGCTTTGTTGAATTACACTTTCAACAAACTTTTCCTATTGTTAGCTTTCACGTGCTCGTTCACGAGGCGCCCGCTGCGAATCATCGTCACGTTTCGTACCAGCATCATGTAAATATTATCCGTCGCGTCATTAACGATCAGCGTATAAAGAGTTCAATGTAATATTAAAAAATGATTATTTGGACCGGTTCGTTTAGGTAACAAATCGTTTCCCAATATGTTTACGTTGGTGCAAGCTCTTTTATTAAAATAGCGGTCTCCGCAGGCAATATTGCTCACGATATTGCATACGTCTACTACGATTATGTTTAACAATCATTTCTTCCTCACCTTGTCCTTTTGATCGTCCGCACTTTATCCAATATCGATGGTATCCAAAGAAACCGAGCGGTGGTACAATTTCCTTTAAGACTCTCTCGAGGAGTCACGAAGCATCTCCACGAGCCGACGACCCGAAATCCCGTGATAGCGGCGGCGAGGACGACGGTACGGACACGTGATATACATTGATACACCGGAGCACGTATCACCACCGGCACGAGAGAAACAGATCGCGGCACGTCGTCGGTCAGGAACGAGGAAACCGAAGAAAAAAAGGACGTCGCAGCAGCGACCGAAAATATATATTTGTGTGCGAAGAAGAAGAAGAAGAAGAAGAAGAAGCAGAAGGAAATAATGATCGAGCGTTCTCCTGCGATCACTTCACACTCAAAAACACGTCCACATAGTAGTGGTAGTCACGATACTGTATAAGGAGATCTCGTCGAAACGATTTCTGCGAATCATCGAAGTCTTGGTGGCTTCGGATGAAGAAACTCAAAAAGCGACAATTATCCCGCGGTCCTTCCTCGGCTCTTCGACGTTTTCCAATTTCACACGTGTCACTGGGTTATCCACACGTGATCCCACTCGAGAAGGGTGCGTGTATAATTCGGTGCTGTGATTCGTTACGCGACACCGAAAGAAGAACGAACGGTGTAAGGGAAAAGAATAATGACGCGCGTTACCGGCCCACGAAAACTGTAATCACAATTTGACGGACAACGTATCGCGACGAATGACAACGGTGACGGCGATGACGGCCGATGACGACGACGGGAATCGACGGTGGAGAACTTTTTTCCAACGGGGTCTGCTCCGTTGGTTGCCCAGGGTCAACCGGCTGGCTCCGAGCGCGGCACTTTTACCCGTTGGGTACTCTCAAGGACTCGGAGGTGGCTCCTATTCCTTTCTCTTATCCTTTCGCGCGCGCGCCTTTTTTATCCCGCTAACCTTTTTAAGCGCACTTTTAATTCCGCTCGGCCGCGTGTCTCCGCGCTCGCGGCACCGCAGCGTTCCCTCTTGTCTTAGAGGAGAGCGCCGACGTAGCGTGGCTCGATCGCCGGCGATGATCGATGTATCACCGATCAAGACTGATCGGGGATAGACCCGGCACACCGGTAGGGTGAAACGGAGTCTCGGACGAGTTTAGAAAAGTGCGCGCGGTTAGGGCTGAGAAAGATAACAAGCGGATTCAGCCACATCCGGATCGTCTTTCAAACTTGTCCTCCGCTACTGGTGTCCTCGACAGAGAGATCACCTCCGCCTCCTTTTCCTCTTTCTCCTTGTCGCCGTAACGCAGACGACTTCTTTCACGACTCGGCGCGCACCCGAGACCTCCTCTCGTCCTTCTCCGCGTGTCCAACCCTCGGGGACGATCCAGAAACTCGTGCTCGAACACCGTATCTCCACTGGCAAATATCGTTGCCTTTTACAATTTCCTGCGCCCGGATCACCGTTCCGTCTACGTGTACGTGTCTCTCGCGTGTACGTGTACGTGTGCCTGTCCGTGTCTCTCTCTCTCTCTTTCTTCCACTTGCTTCTCTTCTTCCTCTATGCCTCTCCCTTTCTCTGTCTCCTTTCTCTTCTGGTTTTGTAATCCGTTTTACGAAACTTGGCTGGTGGCGCGCGCGGTAGAAGCGAGCGGGACGCGATCGATGGATCACAAACGGAACACTCGGATTCGAAATCCTGCCACGTAATTAGTTATCATCAGCTAATTCCACGCCGATGACAGACGATCCAGAGGTTGCCCTCTTCGTCCCGGAAACGGGTTACCGGTGGTACACGCGGGATGACCTTGAACACTCGCGTTTCGTAGCGCATGACACGGCCGACCATACGCGTACGATCGTTTCCATCGCTTTTCCGTTCGTCGACGTGAATCCGGTCTAAGCGACGACACGGTGCAGCTTCGTTTCCGACGCGCGTACACGTACACCGTATGCGAGACGATCTTTCACCTGTTTTCGGTCGCCACGAGGCCTCGCTCGCTCGCGTCGGACAGTCGAAATCAACACACAGATTTCGCGAAGCAACGGACTAGAAATGTTGTTACACAATTGCACACTTCTTTTTCACAGTCTCGTTTCCCCGTTTCGTTCCGTTTCGTGCGGGTTCCCTCGACGATCAGGCCGCGATACTTTCCGCGGGAACGGCGCCCCGTTAGGAGACACGACTCCCGAAGAGAAACAGAGCTCGTACGAAAGGTGGGACCAAATCCGAAAGCCGCCGAGAGAAAGACAGAGAGAGAGAGGCAGAGAGATATTCGGCTATGCCCAGCCTACGAGACAGGATCGGATTTTAGCGCGCTCCGCACGCGCTCCCGCGAGCCCAACTCGGCGGTTTCAACTTTTACTTTCAGCTCTTACACAACGCACAGCCTGCTCTTGCTTGGTACGTAAGTGGCAACCGAGTAACCGAGCACCTCGCTCTTTGCTTCGATGCTTCTTCTTTCCCACCTTTTCCTGCCTTCTTCTTTCTCCCTTCTCTTCCTTTCTCTCGATTTCTTGCTCCGTTTCGCGATGCTCTTTCCCCGATCCTCGGCGATCACTCTTCTCCGTGCACGATTTTCCGAGTGTACGTTTTCGAAACTCGTTGAAACCGATGGTACGTCGATTTGTTCAAAGCCTCTTCATTCTCCGCGGAAGCGCCGAAAATGCTCGTCGCAAATGCAGCCGGACTTGTCTAAAGAGCACGTGCGTCGACGAAAGCACGTGCGGATGAGCACGTGTCCGGTGTTTTCGTTCGGCAAGAACGCGCACTGGGATCGCACTGATAACAGACGACGCTTCGCTGGCCGTATCCAGATATCATCGAGCCAAATCGGAACGCGGTGTCCGGCGCGGTCCCATGGGAAGAACCCGGAAGATGCGTGGAACCAAAATGGTCACGTGGCCCCGGCGCCGAGGGATTCGTGTCGTACGACGACGATCGCGACCACGAGAAGGAGCACAACAACGACGAACGGCTTTCACGAAATTTGTCGCACTGTACTCACGCGGTGACACCAGAGCACATGTACACGCAGGGAGGAGCGACGACACACTCGATCGACACGATGTACGTTTTTCGCGCTCGCGATCTCTCTCTCTTTCTCACGTTCGCCGGAGGACTTCTTCAGGGAGAGAGGGTCTCTTCCGGTCTCCGCGGTGTGTCTCACTGCTCCTCGCTCCGTCGTAACTTTTGCGCAAACCCGAGACCCTCTCTTACTCTTTACCTATCTCTCTTTCTCTCTCTCTCTCTGCGCTGCTCGCTCTCTCTCTCGCTCTCCCCTTTTTCTCTTTCCCTCTTTCCACCTTTGCGTCTCTCTCTCCGTCTCGCGGTACACCTCTCTTTCTTTCTCTCACTCTTTCTCTGTCTGGTCCTAGGTAAACGCGGAGAGAGGTAGACTGGGCAGTCGGCGAGAGACCAATAGTGGTGGTGGTGGTTGTAACGATAGTGGTGGTGGTTGATGCGATTCTGTCGGTAGCGGTAGTGGTGTACACGAATACCGCTTGAAACACGTACACAATTATACACCATCCACCGGTGGATCGTGGAACGTGGCAGGACTCGGTGACAGTGACGATAATGGTAACGGTGGTAGTAGTGACTTAGCGGTGGTGGTGGTGTCGGTGGTGGTGGTAAGAGAAGAGGCCAGGTGGACCCCGGCGCGGTGGCTTACAGAGGCGAGTCCAGAAAGGGTTGAGGGTCCGAAAAGCACGGTTCTCTCTCTCTCGAGAACTCCCGGCGGAATACTCACGCTAGAGAGGAGGCCTCACCGAGCCTCGTGAGTTCGTTTGTAAAGGGACCGTAGTATTGGTTCCTCGTCGAGTGGCACCTATTCTCCTCTCCCTTGCTCTCTCATCAGCTCTCCCTCCATCCGTCTCTTTCCAACGTTTACTCTTTCCTCCCACCACTCGACCCCTCCACCTACCACCTTCCTCTCCACTCTCCCTTTCCCCACTGGTGTGCTCTCACTATTACATTACAAATAGCTCTCTTGCCTAGGCCTCGTTTGTGAGGTGTTGCTCCTTCCGTGTACATTCATGACGGCCCGCTTCGTGGTGTACGTACGCGCCACGCCACAGTTCGACTTGATTCACGTGCGGTTCGCGTAGTGTGCGCGCCGCGTTGCACATGCACGAACTATGTCGTACGATAAGAGTACAGACTTCGTTTGTCCTTGTTACTCCCCCTCCTTCCCACTCTCGCTCCTACTCTTTCGTGCTCCGCTTTTCTCTTTCTCTGTTTTTCAGCTTTTCCTTCTCGTCTCTAGCTGCCGCGCGCGCCACTCTCATAGTGTGCACACGCACGAACGTACACAAGAGAATCGCACAGCCGCTCTACACAGTTTATACGTGTCCTCGTCGCTCGAACGCAGCTGAATAGAGGGTCTCTTTGTCACGGTAATGGTGTAATACAAGGCTCCGCTCGTGCTCGTGCACGTAATACGTAAGAATGGAGCGAGAGAGCTCCGGCGGACCCCTTGTGCGCGCTTCTATCCATTTTTTTTTTCTTTACGCTCCTTCTTTCTTTCTTTCTTTCGCTTCCTTCCTACTCTTTCGACGTCCACTCGTCCCGTCTCGCACCCCTACGTTTCCGTTCTTTCTGTTCGTCCTCCCGTGGAGCCTTTTCCTCCTGCCAGTGCATGTCCACCGCGTGTCCCTCCTCTCCCGTACTAGTATAATTTCCATCCCATTCCCTCCGAGAAATTCTTCCGTCCTTCTTTTATCAACGGCTCGTAACTTTATCTTTTGCTTTTCTCTGCCCTCCCACGATCTATCCCTCTCCCACTCTTTGTCTTTTCCCGGCTTCTTTTCTCACTCCGCCTCGCTAGCGCGGTCCTCTCTTCGCACGAGCGATCGCGCTTGCGCTCCTCTTCAGTCTCTCGCGAACCGAGCAGATAGAATGTTACGTTTTCACCGTCTCCCTCTTCCTTCCCTTTCCTGCGTGTCTCTCCCTCTTTCTCTTCGTAGCCTCGCTAGATTGCTCTCACTTCTTTCGCCGACCTTCCAACCCGCCTATTCTCCTTCACGCCGTACTCCCACGTGCTTTCTTCCCAGCGTCTTACCTTTTTTTTTTCTTCTACGGATATTCTTTTTTCTTTCAAACTCTGCCCGCGAATTGCCGGTCGGTTCGCGCCTCGCCACTGCCAACCAACTCTTTTTCTATTCCGGAGAATTAGGTATACCGTCGCTCTAGTTATGCATCGGAAACGCTTTCAACCGTGATCGATAGTGAAATGCTTGAATGACTCGCTGGTAAACATCTACTGCTTCGAGCTTCCTCTGCGTTTACTTTGATTACGAGTTTAGCTCGTGACACCCGAGCATCTTTAACCGCTCTTACATCTACAG